GCTCTTCAAAATAGGGGCAAGACATGTACATGTTTACTTTGTTACATCAGTAATTATTATAAGAGTAATAATCATCAGATTAACCGATCTTTTTCGTAGTTTGGATCGATTGATATAGGCATTAAAGCATACTACGCCAATTTTAACACACTATCTTGATATTGTTGGGGCAGGGACAGTTAATTTTGTCACATTTTCAGCGTCTTTGACAAATTAATCTAAAATTGTTAAACTTGAGCTCTGATGTTCTGGACAATATTCTACCAATCGTTTCTGAAAGAATGTTGAATTCTAATAGAGTTATAGATCTTCAAAACAGAGGCAAGACATGTTTACTTTGTTTGTTGTGGCAGGAAAAGTTAATTTTGTCACATTTTTAGTGACTTTGAAAAATGTAACCTAAAATTGTTAAACTTGAGCTCTGATGTTCTGGACAATATTCTACCGATTGATTTCTGAAAGAATGTTGAATTCTAATAGAGTCAAAGAATATATAGATCTTCAAAATAGGGACAAGACATGTTTACTTTGTCACATCAGTTATTATGAGAGTTATTATAACAGACTATTTCATTCTATAATCATTGTTTTTAACCTATTTACGATTTCGTATCATTTTTGTGACAATGTAAACATCAACTGATCTTAACTGATCAACTACATTGTCATCATGTAAAGTTTTCCCGCCTTTCAAACCAAAATCAGTTATAAATAATTCGCCCAAAATTTAAAATTCCATATATTGTGACAGAATTGACCTCATTTCCAAATAACCAAGTGCAGTTATTATGACAGACTATTTCATTCTATAATCATTGTTTTTAACCTATTTACCTATTTTTGTGACAATGTAAACATCAACTGATCTTAACTTGCATCAACTACATTGTCATCATGTAAAGTTTTCCCGCCTTTCAAACCAAAATCAGATATAAATAATTCGCCCAAAATTTAAAATTCCATATAGATAGATGACACATTTTACACATTGGTTTGGTTGTATTTTTAAGTGCTCCCTTATCAGTTATTTGTTGCTAAATCGCGATAAGCGAACGCGTGCTATTGTACATTTATTGTACATTGCTTGTATAAAACTCAAATAGTGTGTGTAACTGACATTTAAAGGTTCAATATGCAAGACAAGGAAAACCTGAAATCAGTAAGCGATGATGCTAAGAAACGTGTACTTGGAAGCCTACTTAACAAAGCTGATGCCCCCAGCAAGAAGGTTCTCAGTGTGTATAGTTTCAGTGCAAGTTATAAGACCAATCTGAAAGATATGAAATCACTCACCGCAGTTCAACTAGAACCCTGTGCAATATTTCTAGGTTTTAATGTCAGAGATGGTGTGAAGAAACTGTACACGAATAAACAGACTCTATGTGATAGAATGATTCTCAAGATCGAGTCCTTGTTCGACATAGAATGCGAGGACTGTAACGATGTGTACTGTAATGAACTGGGAAAAGAACCGCTCTTAAGATGCCGGCTATGCTTACAGGGCTCCCACGATTGTGAAGCCATGGCCGAAAAAGCCAAGACCTTCAACGACCTCATTCAGAAAGGACTGCTTCCTTTAGGAGGATCTTGGCTCTGCTACGAATGTTCAAAAAAGAACGAAACACGCTCACTTCAACCTCCCCAGAAACCTACCAAGAAAAGGAACACAGATAGTATAACAGATCTATCCACTATTAAAGAGGTTGAATCTGAGGTAGAGGGCGAGGGAAACGACGATGAAGATGAAGATGAGGATGAGGATGAAGACAGGGAAAGCCCTAGAAGAGGTAGACATAATGATACCGAAAATAACCCCCAGATTTGCCGGGAATACACTATGAGGAAGTGTCCCCACGGCCTCACTGGCAAACGTCTCATTGGTGGTAAGAAATGCTCATACCAGCACCCCATCAGGTGCCGCTTTTACTCCAATTTCGGAGACGACAAACGCAGAGGATGCAGGAATGGGAAGAAATGCACTTTTTTCCACCCTAAACTGTGCCGTAATTCAGTTGCGAATCACGTATGTTTAAACAGCGATTGTGGCTTCCATCATCTTAAAGGAACGGCCAGAAAGACTGTTGGAAACGTGAATCTCACTGACAGAAATCGCCTGCCTCAGCAGCAGCAGCCCAAAGATACGAGAAGAATAGAATTCAACACGAACAGAAGTTCCTGGCCGCCTCCTGGTGGTTATGATGTGGACAGAATGGGTAGTCTAAACTCCCTCAACACCCCCTACCCACCCACTGTTGAATATCAGAAACCCCTCAGACAACGTAAAGACAGTACATCTGAGAGGGATAGTGCTTTTTTAGAGAAGCTCATGGAAAACATGAAAAACGGAATTATAACCCAGATGAACTCCAAAATGGAGGAACTTCGAGGGCAAATTCCAGCCCTTGTCCAAGAGACACAACGGAGCCAGATGGACCCGAGATCACGCCAAACATCCTCTCAGCAAATCTCGACACAGTTCCCACCACCAGCACAGTTCTCAGCCCAAGTGCCACTCCCAAACCAGCCAATGCGGATGCCGATGCCACTAAACTTCATTCCCAACTATCAAGGATCTTGCTACTGAATGCTCGGTCCATCTCCCCAGCCGCAACCAGCACTGTAAAATGGAAGATTCCATTCATCCAAGACCACATACTTGACGACCTAGGAAGACCCCCGGTCCCTATTCTCGCTATCACTGAATCATGGTTGAAGCCATATATCAGTGATGCTCAAATAGCTATAGATGGGTACAACAGTCTTAGAGCAGACCGTCATAGTCGAAAAGGTGGTGGTTGTGTGCTTTACGTTGAAAACTCGCTGCTAGTATCAGATACTGTAAATTTTAGTGACAAACACTGCAGTATGCTGCATTGTTTCATAGACTCTATGAACGCCCTTGTCTCCGTGATATACCGCCCACCAGATGCTCCTCCCGGATCCTTCAAAGCAGTCCTGGACCAGGTGCAGGAGAAACTAAATAACTTGACATCGAACGATAGATCACCTGACATCTACATTATGGGGGATTTCAACCTCCCAAATATAGATTGGGACTCTTGCCAAGCTTTACCTGGTCAACCGCTTTGTGACCAGCAAGCTTGTTCCGAACTAATTGATTTCATGGAGAGAAATTTCTTGACACAAATGATCTGTAAGCCAACGAGAAATAACAACACCATCGATCTCGTCCTCACAAATAAACCACAGGACACAGTTGAGACAAATATCTCCGAATGCCAACTATCTGACCACAGGCTAGTCGAGCTCGTTCTCGGACATAACCCGCTCTGCCCAAAAGAACATACTCCTATATCTTTCGACAGAAACTCTTTTCGGGCGACTGATTTTCATAGAGCAGATTTTGAAGCAATGAACGACTGTTTAGAAGCTGTTAACTGGATCTCTTTGAGAGAACTCTGTTATGAAGATGAAGATGGAAGTGCCTTTCTGGAGCTGATACGCCTAACTGTCCTCCAGATAACCCTCCTAAACTCGCCTTCTAAAGACCCTACTGGATCTGGCCCTTCCCGCCCCCGTAGAAGTCGCCAAGTCCGTGAAAAATACACAATGAAGAGGAAAAGAAGAAAACTCAATGCCCAAATAAGTGCACTTACTCAAAACAACCCAACTTCGAGAAAAATCGAAAAGCTGAAAACCGAAGTGAATCTTCTGACCTTCGAAATAAGTGAACTTGTGATCAAGCAACTTAACGAAAAAGAAGTTAAAGCTGTAAGTACAATAAAGACGAACCCAAGATTCTTTTATTCTTACGCTAAACGATTTGCAAAGGTAAAATCATCCGTCGCCCCAATTAGAGATAAAAACGGAACTCTGAAAATGGACCCAGCGGAAAAAGCAGAAATTCTCCAGACTCAATATGTCACAGTCTTCAGCAACCCAAATTCTGCAAATGTTGAAGAATGCCTCGCCGGATTAGATCCTCATCCAAAAGAAGATCTCAACACATTCACCTTCACAGCAGACGACATATCAGATGCCATAAAGGAACTGGACCCGTATGCCTCCACCCCTGATGGTGACATCCCGGCCAAGATCCTAACTAAATGTCGAAGGACAATCGCTGAACCAATTTATCTACTCTGGAAACGCTCATTTGATAACGGAGTCATACCATCTGGCATGAAGACACAGTACATCACGCCTGTGTTCAAGAAAGGAGACCGAACATCTGCCGCTAACTATCGCCCTGTCTCGATAACCTCTCACATTATTAAGATATTTGAGAGAGTGGTCAGAAATCATCTTGTGGAACATATGGAGTCAAACAGCTTTCTCTCCCCCCATCAGCATGGATTCCGCAAGAAAAGAAGCTGCTTAACTCAACTAATAGACCACGTAGATAACATCCTGAAAACTCTCAACGACGGCAACGAGGTTGATGTTATATACCTTGATTATGCCAAAGCGTTCGATAAGGTAGATCATCAAATATTACTTGCAAAGGCAAAACGCTATGGAATAAAAGGAAAGACTCTGCAATGGCTGACTGAATTCCTGAAGGATCGCCTGCAAACTGTGGTCGTGGAAGGAACAAAATCATCCTTTCAGCTAGTAATCAGTGGGGTACCCCAAGGAACAGTATTGGGACCCATTATTTTCATTCTATACATTGACGACCAACTTGATACATTGGTTACCGCTCTGGGAAAGGTGTTCGCTGACGGCACCAAGCTCATTGGAAAAATCATGGACTTAGCTACCAAAAGCCTACTTCAAGACGACCTCCTAAATGTAATCGCTTGGGCCCTGAAGAACAACATGCAACTAAATGAGGCCAAATTCGAAATATTGAATTACAGCTTGAACAATTCATTACTGTTAAGAGAATTGCCCTTCACCAGTCAATATTCCTGTTACAATTTAACAAATGGAAGAACTATTGACCAGCCAAAACTGTGAGGGACCTAGGGGTTCTCCTGTCAAATGACTGCTCCTGGTCTTCTCACATACAGCAGATGGCTAAAACAGCAAGGACGATGACGTCATGGGTCCTTAGCGTATTCAGAGATAGGTCACGCTTCCTCATGCTCACACTCTACAAAACCATGGTGAGAAGCAAACTCGAATACTGCTGCCCGGTGTGGAACCCTGACAAGATCAGCGATATAGAAGCTATTGAAAGCATCCAACGACACTACACTCGTCGAATCAGTGGCTGCCAGAACCTTGATTACTGGGAACGCCTGCAGAACCTGAATCTTCTCTCATTACAAAGACGCAGAGAACGATACATCATAATCCATACATGGAAGATGATGAATGGATTAGCTCCGAACGACATCAACATGCAGTTCAAGGAAAGCTCCCGACACGGTGTAAAGGCCACTGTGCCTGCATTTAACAAAAAGGCACAATGCTCAATCTCGACCCATTATGAAAACTCTTTTGGAGTAAAAGCAGCCAAACTATGGAACCTGCTCCCCAAGGAAGTTAACACAATCCAAGTCTTGGAAACTTTCAAATCCTCCCTTGCTAAATTCCTGAAAGGCTTCCCGGACACCCCGCCCACAAAAGGGTATACCGCCATCACAAATAATTCTCTTCTGGAATGGACTCTACAAAAAGATCTAAGCCAGGAGTGATTGGAGGACGTACTTGATACTGTTGTCCAGAAGCGATCCCTGCCGAACCTACCTAAAGTAACCTAAAGTAAGTAAGTATTGTGACAGAATTAACCTCATTTCCCAATAAACAAGTGCCTGTATTAGCTAACTATTCGACACAACATATTTTAGGGCTATGATTGGTAGATCAACTATCAAATAATGAGTTAAAAGGTTTTTGAGGACACCTCACAATAGAATAGAGGTATGGTATTCTGAGTGTGACAAAGTTACCCTAATATTGCCTTGTAACCGTTCGATCCGTGCCCTTTAACCAATGTTGTGTCATAATTGTTAGATTAACCTAATCTACTATATTTCAGACCAAGGAATGATAATTAGACAACTGCAGTTAACTAAGTCACACAAAATGTGACATTTGAACCATTATAGTGCCTAACAACAATAGATTTTCTTTCTGAGCAGTGCATATGGGAGTATGGGTTACCTCGCTAATGTTCAGAACTTCTGAACGTGCTAGGTTAATAGATGTCAAAATTAAGCCACTATCGTCGAAAACGCTATCATTTTTGTTTACCAATATCCTCAAACTCATATGAACGTGTCCTTAAGTAACCAATACTAGATCACAAATATGAGTTCTGTGTCAGTTTTGACTTATATAAACATAATTCAGTTTGTCATTCTAAAGAAGTAACGGAGAAATATAGGAAAAATCCCGGTACCGCTCCCGGAACCGGCCGGTATGACGCTGATCCCGGCCAGGTTTTCATTTTCATCCCGGTCCCAGCCGGGATGGAGGTAATCCCGGCCCGGTACCGGCCGGGACAAAATGTCGATCAAATGGTCTCAGAACTCACTAACACTTCCTTCTTACTCAAAATTGATGTTTTACATTATGACGAGCAACAAGCAACATATATTTTGATCCTTCGGTTCTAAATCTAAGGCAATCTGAGGTTATTTGAAAGCTTTCGTTCAGAAAATAAATAAAACCTTCAAATGGGGGTAACAAGGAGTAACAAGCGTTGCAAGTGTTCCATAATACTAAGATCTTTCTCCTACTGAGCAGAACCTTCCCCTTAAAAGTAAACAAATCGCCTCTCTACGACAATCCAGATCTATTAAGTAGCAGAGACGATCATTTAAGGAGACTTCGATATCTATCAGGATCATGATTATACTGCCGTGAGAACTAAGCACTCCGGGATTTAACACATAATATTTGGTTTTCTCGATTTCATTCATATTTAGACATAAGTCGGTGTAGATAATTGGTTATACGTAGAATAATTGGACATAATTTTATGCTAAGTTGTACTTGCGTCTGCGGAAATATACGTGTGAACTGGTCATACCGCAAATGCTGAAAAAAGTAGATCTTACCTATCATAAAATCACCGCCCGTACCGTACACGACTGAGTTATGACTGCGTCAAGAAATTCTGTATCATAATGATGTATTGCCATGGCAACCAAAACTCCATCGGGAGATCGGCTAGTAACGCATAATATACCTACAGTATCAAAACATATCATAGCAACATTCCAGAGATTCTGATTAGCTTATGTGCGTGTGTGTGTGTGTGTAAGAAAATGTATTATACAGTCTGCTAGAACATTCCGTTTACACATGGTAAGATAGTAAATAGGCCGATAATAACTGCCCATTGCATTAACAAGTTGTTCAATTTATCTCCGAATTACACACAAATTTCAGAAATGATAGATCTGTGCCGAACTAAGATTTTCTGAAAGTCTCGTAGACTTTAATCAATTACAGAGGGTGTGGACACTGGCCACCCCCTCTATTTCACTATTATAGTTGAAACTAGTATAGATTACAATAATTTTACAAAAGTCGAAACAGTAATATATATAATATAAACACCAATTTGTAGGATACTTTAAATCACACCAAAATTGTTCCCAGATTAATGCAATGAAATCTGATGATGTCTTTTCAGTGAAAAAGAGGCCACACTGTAATTGATTAAAGTTTACGAAACGTTTAGAAAATGAGTTATATTACTTGCAACTATAACTAAGATAAATTGAGTATCAATATCCGGCCCAGTAAAGGCTTACTGGGCTTATCGACCTAAGAGGACAGCCCCCTGAGTGGATTGCAAGACAGTCTCAATTGTGATCTGATGGGCCCAGTTAGAAAAGCCTGATTGTGCACAGAACATCAGCTGTATTTGTTCTTAATAGCTTGATCTGCAAGAAGAAGCAAGGCGCTTTAAACTGGTGTTGAGGTTGAGGGTAGATAATAGATTTCGCCAATCTCTTCCTTCAAACCATTTCCGATGGTTTGATCGATGGTTCCTGTTATATATGACAATCAAGGCTAACCAGCCTGAAACGATAACACCGCAAACGTTTGCTATACATTGAGTGATGCATCACGTTTCCATCCAACACATTTTAAAACGGTCATAAACCGGCTAAATTTAAATAACCAACTTCAGATTTTACAAGGGCCGAACAGGGTTTTAATATTAAATCTGATAAATTTAGTCAAACATATTTCTGTTAACACAGTTATATAACTATAGACTTAGTCGGCTGCTGGACAGTTCCGCCTAACCTAGATCAAGCTACCACGAGAAGATTCAAGATTTAAAACCAATTGTGAGCTTAAGATCATAGCAGTTATAGACTTAGAACCAAATTATATTGGCAGATTATTATCTCTGTAATAACAGACTTTACGATATCATGGAATAAAGTAAATCATGAAATATCTCTTTTACGACACAGGACTCCGTGTTTAAAGAAGGATTGATTAACGGCTGGAAAAAATGTAACTGGATATCTGCCACAGTGCTGCTTTTATTAAGGTTGAAGTAACTTTTAGCACATAAAGAAGTCTGGTTTGCTAGGTTTTAATTGATCGTATAATAACAAATAAAAATAAGTTAAGACTACAAAAACGGTCAATAGAAACTAATTATAATACCTGTATCGAGAACTCGACTTCAAAGTACTATCATTCTGCCAAATTATGTCATATCTTGAGACTATTGATAGCTTCCTGAAACAGTTTTGAGTCAACATTTTCGTGATATTCTAGAAATTGAAACCAATTCTCATCTTTTAAAAAGTAGATTGCATTAAATGCCATAGAATGGAATTTATTGAAATCTACTTTTTTAAATTCTAAGAATTTGTTGATTTATTAAAATTCTGTCTCAATTAAGGGTACACGCAATGTAGTTCGACACACGTTCATGCTAGGCACCCTTTTAACCCCCTCTATGGTGAAGATGAGGATGGTAAGTACAAGTAATGTGAGGAGAGGATGGGTACCATTTAGTACATTTAAGCTGTAGGTGTAAAGTAGCTCTTAGTCGAGGAGTATATAAATGACGGCACGACAAGGTTCTGCAACAGATCTCTGAACATGTTATCTTGTGAGCGCCGAGTGAACACTTAAATAAAAACACTTATAAAAACAAGGCCAGCGATGGAAGACAGTTCATTGACTGCTAGGCTGGGAGGGAAAAAGCAGGTACAGACGACCGAAAGGAGTCGTGGTTTGGGATCCTGAGTGGGTCTCGATATTGGATAGTGTTGTCATATATCGGGCCTTATAATATTCTCAAGGTCACCAAGACGGCACAGTCTTATGGCGGGAGGTAACGGTACCATCTAAAAAACAGATTGCTGAATCATACGAGTAAAAACTCTACCTGTACAGCAGTCTTACAGCAGACTGAGATTAAAGCGCAAGAATGGTGCTGTTATAATTTTGCGTTTAAAGTTTTAGCACCTGGAATCTGTTAACAGTTTTTAGAGAGCTGAGTAGGCTAGTACGGGATAGTAGGGAAGAAGTAGCTCACTGTTCCAGATGGATCTACTTCTCATCAAGGAAGAGGGAGTGGTAGGTTTTTGTGAAAAATCATGATACGAACTTTGATGAACCCATAATAATATAGTGCAAGGATAGCATTCTCATAAGTTCTACCCTTGCTACAGTGCACAATGTAAATACTTAGTGATATCAAGCTGCAATCTAAAATTTATTAATTGAATCTCATTATCACTTCAAATCTTACCTGTGCAGTCTAGCCTGATTGCGACATCGTTAGAAGTGAGAGATAAAAGACATTCAATTGTAATCCAATTCTGCGAGAGAAGATTTGCCCAGACAGCTGACAAGAATGTATTACCATACTTCCTGTAAATGTGGTAGTTATTAAGTCCTATCAACCTTGGATATTATTTCAGTATGTTGTTTTACGTGGGCAACATCGTAAATTACACACACTATAAACTATAGCACTAATCCTATGCTGCAGTGTCAATAAAAATGGAAGTACAAATCACAACAAAATGTAAACGAGCACACAAATTCAGGTTAATCCATGCTAGTATAGTTAGTTAATCTAAAAATAACCATAAGACAAATTAACCAATCTCCAAGCCACATTCTTGGTTGTAGCGAGATGCACCACTGGGCCTGACATCGTGAATCAACATTCTTGGTAATTACGTAAGACACGAAGGAAACGTTTATAAAAGTTCACTAAAAGAGAACTAAGTGACTTATACCGGCGCCTCTTCACTGTAAACAACACTGGAAACTTTTCCCGTGCCATCTCTGCTGCCGGGTCATCCCAAGACTCTCCTAACCCACTGAAGGAAGACCAACGTCATGTCTCAGAGTACGGTCTAAAAAACTTTGTGTTAACATAAAACTTGGCCTTTATCGTGCCTTTGGTATGAGATCCCATAGAATGCAGCCCTCTACAGAGCGCTAGAATAACCCTAAAATTCAAAAACAAACAAGCCTCACGAGATCAAGTCGCTGTAATGTCCTGGAACATTCAGGACAGTACAGGAGACGGATCTAACAAATTTGAAAATAACGAATTTCTGACAATCCTCAAACAAGCAAACATTCTGTGTCTCCAAGAAACTAAGAAGCAGGTTAAAATCGAAGGATACCTTTCCTTTAATAGCAACCGCAAAAACTCTCGCTCAGGAGGGGTCTGCATTCTTGCTGAAAATGA